CTTCCATGTGAGAACAAATTTTAAAAAATTGATGACTAAAATACTACAATTTAAAAAATTCCCAAGGATATCCTAGAGACAGTGATGCCAACAATTTGAATAACTAAAAATGAATTATAGTTCAAGAAGAATGAGTATACCAGCCTGATGAGCAGGAAAATGAAGGGAAAAAATAAGGACACCAGAAACAGGAAAATAATGCAATGCAAAGACAAAACTTATTATTTAAATGATGTGGTTGTGAACTGAATTGATTGTGAACAAAATCAAATTTCCACATAAAGTTTAATGTCACCCATTGTGGAGTTCACAAACTGAAGCAACTTTTTGCTGAACACTTCTGTTTGTGAACTGAGTTTTTCATGTAAAGAAGCATTTATGAACCAAGGTATCATAAGTGTAACTCTCAGGGATAACTTTCAATATGAATGGTCGCAATTCCCCAATAATTAGAGTGACGGAATGGATCAAGAAAGAAAACCAAACAGGTTGTATTTTATAAGAAAGACTTACTTTAATGTGAAGCTCAATTAAAAATCAAAAGAGGTAAAACAATATTTCATGAAATGAGAACCTGGAAAAATACAGGAGTAGTTATACCAATTTCAGACTAAGTGAATTTCAAGACAAAAATATCAGAAGGACAAAGAAAGTTATTACATATGGGTAAGGACACAACGCAACAGGAAGAGATAACAATGATAAATTTGTGCCCATCTCATACTAGTGAACACAACTTCACAAAATAAGCACATGTGTGGGAGATTTCCCTGTTGATTATGCCTCCAGCAGGCTGTAAGCAGTGCAGGCTGTAAAGAGTTAACCCCATTTTGTCTTGTTTTAAAAAGTGAGTCTGACCAATGCCTACATGACTCATGGGAGAAATGCAGATGGCCACATCAGAGAACAGAAAAATGGTCCATGAATCTACACCAATGGTCAGAGTTACTCTTACCAAAATTACATTCTCAGAGTTAAATCTCTTAACTGAAAAGACAAGAGTAATTGTTAAGTACAACCTATAACTAGTCTGTTCTACTCTTAACATTACAGTACTTTGTTTTTTAACAAGCCTTGTCTGCATTGGCAATTTATCCCTAGCAACCACAAATAGACCCTTCACTCCAACTTAACAAATGATTGTGTCAACAATAATATCAGTGGTTATGGCTGTTCAGAGTCTTTGTTTGCTCAGCACTGACCATCTCGGCACCTGGTTTCACTCTGATTCTATGTCTAAGTCTTTTTACTTGCAGTGTATCATAGCACTGAATAAGAGATTTGGATCCTCTGACATGGACCCTAGTGCTAAGGGAACATGAAAAATCAAATATGCACTGATACCTTTGCAAAGGGGAAACTCAGTTTCTCACTGTCACAAATAAACAGATCAATTAGACCAAAAATAATCGAAGAAATATTAGTGTTGAACCAAACTTTCAGAAAACTGACTTAGTTACCTGGAGAATGTTCCATCAAAACAAAGTACACATTCTTCTCAGCAGCACATGAGACTTTCTTTAAACTAGGCCACATCCTGTCAGACAAAGCAGACTTAAGTAAATGCAATGAAAGAAAATTATTTCATGTACAGTATTAGACGATAGTGTAACAATCCTAAAAATCAATGCCAAAAGACACTAGAGATATTACTCAAATACTTGGAAATTAAATAACCTGTTGCCAGTTACTTTTCTCATTGATAAAATACCTGATGTCCAAAATTAAAGGAGGAAAGTTTTATTGCAACTTGCAGTTTGCAGAGGTATTAGTTAATAGTTGGCTGGCTCCAAGGCAGTGTGGCATGGCAGAGGAGCACTACAGAGGAGAAACAGCAGAAGGGAGAAGACAGCAAGATGTCAAGCAGAAATTTACAAGTGACAGGCAGTGACCATTTTGCTGTTCCTTTTATGTTATCCAGGCTACACAGCCTTAGGGTGGGTAGCACTCACACCCAGAGGATGGCAACATTAATCCTAGTAAAATATCATGAATCAATCCCAGCATCAAATCCTTGATTCCAGAATCACACACCCTAGATTCAGCCACCTTTGAAAAGTCCTACCTATGACCATGTGAGGTTTTTTGGGGACATCTACATACAAGCCGTAACACTTCTTGAATAAACAGTGAGACACAGATGAAATTAAAGAAGAAATTAGGCAGATTCCAAAAAGAAAGATTCCACTGTCACATACCAGAATCTATGGGACCCAATACAAGCTGTCCTGAAGAGGAAGTTAAGAGCAGTACACTTTCACATCAGAAAAACAGAACACTCTCAAATAAATAAACTAGTCACATATACCTCAAGAGCACAGGAAAAAAAAAAAAAAGAAAGAAAAAACCAAATACAAATCTAGTACAGGGAAGGAGGAAATTGTGAAAATCATAGGAGAAATTACTGAAATTGAGATTGACAAAAAAATACAAATAATCAATGAATTGAAGAGTTTGTTCTTTGAAAGATTAAACAAAATAGGAAAACTCTTAGCCAAACTTACAAAACTAAGACCAAAATTCATGCAATCAGAAAAGCAAAAGGCAAAACCACAACAAATTCTGATTATGGATCACTACTGTGTATTGGAATCCAGATTATTGGTCAGTACTATGAGAACCTATAAACCAATAAAAAGGAAAGCTCACAATAAGATAAATATCTATATACACTTGAAATAATGAAGCTGAATCTGGAAGATATAAAAATAAAGAAGCCTGCCATAGATTAAAACTGGACCCTTATCTTTCACCATACACTAAATTAAGATCCAAGTGGATTAAAGTTCTAAATATTAAAACAGAAATAACTAAACTTTCTGGAAGATAAATTAGGCGAACTCTTGAAGACATTGGCATAGGAAAAGATTTTATGAACAAATCCTCAGTAGCACAGGAACCAGCAGAAAGAATCAACAAATGGGATTTCATCTTATTAAAAAGCTTCTGCACTGCAAAAGAAACCATCAAAAGAACTAAGAGACAACCTACAATGTGGGAAAAAATTTTTACCAGCTGCTCCTCAAAGGACTAGTATCTAGATTATATAAAGAACTCAAAACAATCAGCCCCCATCCAAATATAAAAACCCAATTCAAAAATGGACATCTGAAATGAACAGACATTTCTCAGACAAAGAAGTAAAAGCATCAAGTAAATATATGAAAAAATGTTCCACATTGATGGTCATTTGAAAGTTGCAGATGAAAACAACACTGAGGTTCCACCTTACCCCACAAAGAATGGCTGCTATCCAGAAATCAACCAATAACAATTGTTGTCGGGGTTGTGGCAAGAAAGTAACCCTTCTGCATTGTTGGTGGGAGTGCAGACTGGTGCAAACACTATGGAAATCAATATGGAGACACCTTAAAGAGCTGGGACTAGAGGTTCCATTTGACCCAGCCATCCCTCTGCTGGGTATCTTTCCAAAAGAATTAAAAGAATCACACCACAGGGATATATGCTCATCCATATTTATAGCAGCACAGTTTGTAATAGCTAAAACATGGAAACAGCTCAGTTGCCCATCAGTTGGAAACTGGATAAAGAAAATGTGTTTTTTCTATAAAATGGAATATTACTCAGCCATAAAGAATGAAAAATTAGATTCATTCATAGAAAAAATGAATACATATTGAGGACATACTCCTAACTGAAATAAATAAGTCACACATGTGTAAATACCAAATAGTTTCTCTGGTGTGAATAAACTATAATAGTACATAAGATCCTGATGATATAATGGACAATGTGAAATAGGAAGAAAGGGGCTAAAGGTGTAGGAAAAGTGGGAAGGGTAGGTGAAAGCTAATAAGGGAAAAGAAAAAAATATGAGAAAATGAAAAAAATGATTGAAATGAAGTGTTTGTAAAGGGGGAGCAGAAGAGGGGGTGAAGGGAGGGCAGGAACAAGGGGAAAAATGAGAACCAAGACCTAAAGATACAAGATCCCAATAATGAATGTAACTGTACTGTATACCTAAAATGTACCAATAAACTACATGAAAAACAAAAAAAGAAAAAGAAAGATAATAAAGACCATCATGAAAACACTGGGAAATAATAAAGCTAACTGATAAAATTAGGAGACAAAGATAAACATAAAAGAAACAAAACAATATTACTCCATAAAAATACCAAACCACAGTGATAATAAGAAACATGGACAGCAAACAAAACAAAACAAAACCCAGAAATTGATGAGCACAGTGTCAAAACTAAGTTCTTACCTATGAATTGTAACCTTCAAAGTGATATGATTAAATTCTCCTTTTAAAAGGTATTGACAGAATGATTGAATAAAACACTATGACTCAACATACACTCTCTACAAGAAATTCCCTTTGTTAGAAGAATCACACACTGAGAGAAAAAAAAGGGGAAAATTCAAATCCATAACTAAGTATGAGTAACCATACTCACATAATAAAAATAATTTAAGTGGAAAACAAAAAAAGAGACAAATATTGAAAAAGCATTACACAAGAAAGAAAATAA